TGTACATTTCATCAACTAAATTTATCAACTATTATGGAGCAGAGATAGTAATAATAATGAGGTTTTTCTAAAGCATATTATCTCTCTCCCATAATAGTTAGGACACTGACATAATCTGACAACTATTATTGGACACAAGTTGTATGCTTTGAAATATATTTTTCTAATTATTATTACAACCTCTGTTCCATAATTGTGACATTTACAGACACATTTCATAAAGTAAATGTACCAATTTTTATGGGACAGAGGTAATAATAATAATTAAAAAATGAACTTTATTTAAACTTTGTGGAATAATGAATATTGTTGTTATTTGAATCTTGTGTCATATTGTTCAATAATTTTGTGTTCACATATCTTCTGGTAAGTTTCTTTTAAGCAAAGCATAACCCTGCTGACACTACTTAAGTAGAGTGGTCCACTCATAAAAAAATAAGCAAACATTTTCAGGGAATTAATTTTTGTAGATTAGCATTCATTAAAGCTTCCTCAAATTGTGTCCTTTGTCAGAATAAAACAAAATATTGATTTTTTTTTTTAATCATTTATCAGCATATCAATACTTTGTAAAATTGATCTCTGACATTTTACAGAGTTATTTGACTTGGCTGTTATTTACAAATGTCAAGTTTTAAACTGTTTATATCATTGATATCTGCATATTTTATTTTTAATTTTCTGATTTTTTACAATTTTTTTTAACAATTCTATTTTTTTTTTTCTTGCTGAATTGATAACAACAAATATCATTACTAAAATACCTAAATCTTGGATTTCAAACATGAAACTTGTGGACTATGTTTCTGTGCCCTATATTTTCCTCAAATTTTAATAAATTTGTCCCTTTCCCTTTGCATACTTTTGCAGTATTGAACTTTATCTACTCAGCAAGTGAAAAATAGGCTGTCAATCACTCTTAAGGTCAGCAGGGTTCATTCTAGTTCCACTCCAAGGAAGGGAAGAAAACTTGTTCCCTCCCACCTCATATTCTTCATTAGGTACCTGATAGAGGGTACATATTTACATTCTAACAATGTCTCAGTCCTTTTACTTAATTTTATAAGGAGTAAATTTAACAATTTGGATTAGGAAAAAACAAACCCTGCAAAAATTTTTGTAAAAACCACCAATCCGTGATTGTAATGCAAAGTAATTTTAATTCAAGAAAATGCATTTCTACCAGTGTGCCCGTTCTGATGTTGATACCCTCCCCATTAGACATGCTTGCTTCTGGATCACTGCAGTTTTTAAACTCTGGATTTTGTGAACACTTCAACATTGATAATATGGCAATGAAAACCTATTAACTGACTAGTGGATATGTTATTATGAATAGAACAAATTTGGATTTTAGTAAGAGTTATTTACCTTGCTCCCTTAAATCCTACAACTGATTATACAACATGGATGAGGGTCAGGGTAGGTGTTAAAAGAACATTTCCACAGTCAGGATATAAAAAACATGATTGCAGCCTTAAAATTTCAGCCAGTGAAAAACGCCTCCGAATATCACTTTGGCAAAATCACAGCCTGTGAGTTTCTAAAGTAAAATCAACATTATATAAGCAATTATAGTTTAAGAAGTTAATACAAATAACGTTTTACTTTTTGACTTGTATTTCTTTCATATTAATTTCACTTCGCTTTATTTGTAATATAGTAACTTGTAGTAATAATTGTAATATTATCTTGAAATTATATTATCAGATGTAGCATCCTCAAGCATTATTATTTTTGACATGAGTATCTTTTGTCTTAATTTCACTTGGTTTATATCAAAACTACTCTGACCATCATTTCAGAGCCATTAGTAAAATGCTTTTTATATTGAAAATATTGATTGATTTTTTTTTACAGATTATCAACCCTTTGCAAGTTATCTAAAAGCCAGAAAATATTTTTAGATTGTAAGAATTTTTCTTCTTAAAATGATTTATGATTTTAGTGATACAAATTTTACTAATTAACCTATATCTGGGGGGAGATGTGGATTCATGCCTTTCTCAAAGGTATTTGTGTGTAAGTGAATATAATGAACCCAACTGGAATTGGAACTTGGCTCTTCAATTGACAATTCCAAGACATTATCATACCCAGACATTCAAGCTTACACCACCTCTTAGACCCCAAGTGGTTAACCATCAACATACTGACCAAGCTTGATCTTGCTTAACTTAGGTGATTGTATAGGAACCAGTGTTTCAACCTGATGTGGCTGTAAACATATTGAAAACTGATGATAGTTGTAGCCATGAATTCAACAAGAAGAAATTCTTATTTGCAGTTTTTATTATAAATTTTTATATTCAATGTAAAGTTCTAATTTGGTGAAAAACTTTGGCAATATTTAACCTTCATGCCCACAAAAAATGATGTATGTAAAGGATGGTTATTCCCTTGATATTGCAATTACTAGATGTACTTTTAACTCTTGAGGCAATTGATGATTAGAATTTCAATAAAATCAAAACATATGAAAGTCATTTATACATTTTCTTTATTATTGAGAATTGATAACAAACATATTCAACACTATTTATTTAATTCTTTATTTACAAGAATAATTTTATATTTACATGATTATAAAATGTGTTAACCAACTATAAAGAAATATTTATTATTTACTATTTTATAAAGAAATAAAATTGAATAGAAATATTTCCATTCATAAATTTATAAAATGTCTGAACAAGAAAATTTAAATCAACATTTGCTCTTGACACAAATTCACAAAAATAGGTTGAGAGCATCTCTTCATCTTTTTGTATATTTTTTATGAATTTTTGAATAAAACGATTATTCAAATGTGTTTCTTTATAAAATGGTAAGTAATAAATCTTTATAAAAGGTAAATAATATATATTGCATTGTACCTGGTCCACATATTATTATAATCTTGTAAATAAACATTGCCAAGGTAGTCTTGGTAGTATACAGTAATAGCATTATGAAAAGAATAATCGTCTTTTCAAACACCAACTTTTTCTTCCTATTTTTTTTTTTTTGCATGAAGATTAAACATTGCCAAAATTTCATTATCCTTAATTTTTAACAACGTTTGGTTAGGGCTGGTAGGTGTGTGGAAATATTTTCTTTCTTTTTTATTTGACTATTTCTCTCTGTTTATCTTGATTACTTTAACTGTTTTATATATATATATATATATATATATATATATATATATATATATATATATATATACATACATACATACATAGTGTTTATGTATGTTATGAAATGGACTAAGTCCAACATGTCATTTTAATATAATTTGTGTTTATACATTATTTTATATTTAAGTAAATGCTCTGTTTATAATAAACAGTATTAACTACATTTACTGGCCTGAATGTACGAGAAATTTCATAGAAAATATGTTTCCTCTGATAGGAATCAAACCTGTGTCCTGTCATGGTAAATGTACTTAATACTGTTTATTATAAACAAAGCATTTACTTAAATATTTCTATCTATAAATTAATGTATAAACAGAAAATATATTAAAATATATGTGTATCTATCTATCTACCTATCCCTCTCTCTCTCTATATATAATAGAATTAATATAAATATAAAATTTATCACATAGCTATTTGATGTTATCTTCAGTACCCTGGCTCCAGATTTTTGTACACAAAGCTTTTTATAATCATTCTGTCCACTCATCAGGAGGTATCAGCAATTGATTGCCAATTTTCTCATTTTTGTTATTTTTGCATTGAGTTAAAAATAATTTATGTGCTATTTATTGGTTTTAGGTTCATTTTTTTTCTGTGTGTGTGTGTATGCATGTGTGTTCATATATACATATATATATATATTATATATAAATAAATGTATAAAAACAATCTCTTGAGTAAACTCAGATTGCAATACCAATGCAAAATCTATGTAGTATTTTCAGTGAATTTTTTTTCTCTGAACAAACAAATCTTCTTCATCCACTTATCAGATCAAATTAAAATAGATTACTTATCATCATTCAAGGAATAGCAAACATGAAACATTATAAATTGATAGTCTTTTTCCTTCATTCATCTTCAGCATAAAATGTTTGAAAAATAATTATTCATTATGAATTTTTCAACTATAAAAAAATTAATCACAATTTTCTTACTGAGACATTTATGTTTCTTTTGATCTCATCTTTCTTCATACAGTTCTCATAAACCTGGTTCCATTCATTTATATTACTTACTATCAGACAAATGTTCTCATCCTTGTTGTTGTCATCACTGCTATTTTGGCTTCCTCAGGTGTTTCTCAACTGAGGTAACCTTTAAGGAATTTTCAACTAAAGTTTTTATTTAAAATATGGCTTAGATGTGAAGAATACCATTGCAATAATAAATTATATAAACTGACAGTTTTTTTCTTTCTTTCCTTCAAATAACAGGTGGTGCTGAAAAGACCCACTTCCTAAAATCTGACAGAATGACCAAACATCAGGAATTACAGGATACCGATACATACATTTTGTAGAGATGTGAAGAATACCATTACACAAAATTATATAAAGTGATTGGTTTGTTTTTTTCCCATTATTTCAAATATGAGGGTGTGCTGAAAAGATGACAATCTAACCCATTAACCTATATTTTGAGAGGGATTCTTAGTTTGGCAAATGACTTTTTAGCCTTTCTTTGTACATATGTAAGTAAGTCAGTCCTGTATGCTGCACCTTCCAAACTATGAAGCATAGTACCACAGTCTCATCATGCCACAAGTTACAGTTATGGTTTCATAGTAAGTAGGTCTTTATAGAAAGAAGTTGCTATCTCTGCACTCAGTTGGTTTTAAGTTCCATTTTTTTCTCCTCCTTCACTGGTGACCAAGCAAGTTTAGAAAATGGAGGCTACTGTGCTATTAACCACTAACTGGAGGGAAAAAAAAAGAAAAAAAGATGGATTCATACCTTTCCAAAGATAGATGTATAAATGTAAATGTAATCACCTCAGCTAGAATTTTTACTTCACACACCAATCCCATTTTAGTTTACAGCCACATCATGTTGAAACATCGGTTCCTGTATGATCATCAAAGTTAAGCAATGTTGAGCCTGGTCAGTACCTAGATGGGTAACTGCTTGGGAATGCTGTAAGTTTGGATGGTGAAATGGGTAATTTCTCAGAAATTATTAATTAGAAAGCAAAGTTCCAATTCTGTTGGGTTTGTCATAGTCACTTGTGTGCAGCTACCCTTGAGAAAAGTATGAATCCACCTGTTTTATCCACAGCTATGGGTTAATTAGTAAAACTTGTATCATGAAAAACATTATCTAAAAAGAAAAATTTACAATCTAAAAATATTTTCTGGCTTTAGATAACTTGCAAATGTTTGATAAGCTGGAGAAAATGAATGAATGGATTAGAATATAGGGCTAGATTGTTCTCATTCCAGTGTCAATTTTTATGGATATATCATCTTGTTCTTTTTTTAATACTACTCAGTTATTGATTCCACTAAGTCTAAGTCTTTACTACTGAGCCCAGGGATTGAACTCAGAATTACTATGCCACCAAATTCACAAATGAATGTTTTAATCCTCTTGGCTATTAAAGCTTTGTTTCTTGAATTTGAGTTTATATAAAAGCTAATTGCTTTTAAATAGTGAACTAAAAAAAATGAAATTGAACAAAAAGACAGTCATTGACTCATATCAGTATAATGTTACGAGGATGCATTTCTATAATAAGGGATTCCTTCGAGTTCTACTTGTTATTACAAAAAAGTTTTCATTCATGAAGTAGTTGTAAAATAGAGAAATTAGAAATATAATGTTTGGAAGATTCTAGATCATTCTAGTATATTCGAGAAACATCTAGAAATATGCAAATTAGGTGTTAGCCCCTATATAAATGGGATTTTGGAAAAGGGTTGTCAGTTGATGAATGGGAATTTCTGCTGTTATCAACTCCGGCTTTTGATTCGAGGACTATTATATCCAGCCGAAAGAATCTCTATAAAAAGTTGCCGACCAACCAAAACCCAAAAGAGAATTTCATGAAACAAAGTTGGTAAATAGAATTTTGACTAATTTTCATTGACCAAACAAAAAATTAATATTTATTTACACACCTTTGTGGATTTCCAAATATAGCACTTACATTACTTCACTAGCCCTAAAAAGTGATAAAGATATTTGATTCCCTTTCCTTCTTCCTCGTAACACTCCGCCAGTAACTCTTTGTTTTCTGTTTTGTAGGCAACAATTGTTTATCCTGTATATATTTTATGTTCTGTTTTAGTAAATTAAATATTTGTCTGTGATTTAGCTCTGTGTTGTGGTAAATCATTTTTTTTCCTTTGTTACAATTATCAACACGTAACAATAAGTTTCCTCTTTGTTTACATCCTCTCCAAAACCTCATTGTTACTCACATGTTCAGTCCATGGTATCCTTAGCATCCTTTTGTATAACCATACCTGTGTTGCCTCGAGTCTCTTCTTCATCTTTGAGGAGACGGTCTAACATTTACTGCTGTAAAGGAGGACAGATATCACGTAGCAGTTTGGTACTTTTTTTTGTTACCAACGAAATTCTCCTGTCTCGTAATACTCTGCCTAGCTTTTGGAATGCGTCTTTGGCCATTCCAAAATGTCTTTGGATCTCAGTGTAACACTTACTGTCCTCTGTCAGAACACTTCCCAGATATTTAAATTTCTGCACCTGCTTGATTGTAGTGTTGCCGACCTGTAAATTGCATTTCGGGCTCATCTTTTTGCTGATGACCATGCATTCTATCTTCTTGTAGTTTATGCTTAGTCCCTTTTTATTGAAATCCTTTATTACTTTCTGTAAGAGATTTTGTAGTTTCCTTTCCGTGTCTGCTATAAGCACTGGTTCACCTGCATATCTTATGTTTTTAAGATTGTGGCTGCCAATGATGAATCCTTGTATCATTTCCAGTTCTCTTAGAATTGCCTCATTGTATAAAATAACTATGGAAACAAATTTTTTAGTCATAGTTTTATAAAAATATATATGAATAAGAAAATTTAAATAAACATTATATTTACAGATATTTTCTTCTCAAATTATTTTATATCTCAGATTATTTTTTGTTTTAATTTTCCATTTTTTAAAAACATGATCTCGGATCAAGGCAGCATAAACAATAGAAATCCAAGGCCAGAAACTCCAGCAAGTATAGCTTACCTCCCTTTTCCTGCTCGTTTTTGAAAAAGATAATTTTGACAATCTTTTAAATTGTTGCTAACATCTTTTAAAAATGCCTACAAAATTCAGCCAATAGATTATTTATTGTCAGCCAAGTTCTGACTGATGAAGAAATCTTAAATGAAGAGTGGACATTAAGCACCTTGACTTAATTGATAAAGTTGGCTAATTGTGTTCTTTGGAATGGTTGGAAAAACTTTGATGAATTGCCAACCAATTCCAACTTTATAAAATGCTAAATAATAAAGATTTCTTTATCGTTGGTTTATATATTTTTTATAAATTTACGAATAAAAAAATTTATTTTTTTATAAATTGGTAAATGATAAACATTGTATTGTATTAATTTGCATTTTTAGAATGTTCTAAATATAAAATTATTCATGTAAATAAACAATCCAATAAATAGTGTTGTAAATTCTCAAGAACAAAAAAATATGTATAAATTAACTTTCATATGTTTAGGTTTTAGTAAAATTCTAAATATTGATTTTTATGGGCATGAAGATTAAATTTTGCTGTATCAACAATGTACCAGTACCATAATAGATACCAACAGGGGAAATGCAGTCAAGAAAGCAAGTTCAATTCGAGTCAATTGCATTCACTTTTGTACTTATATCCTTGGAAAAGTCATGAACCCGTTTCTTCTTCCCTCCCAGCAGAATTGACTTGGCTCTTTAGCCTTCAGTGTCAACTAATCAAAAAGGAGACAAGAAACCACTCCTCTACCTTTCCCAAGAAGTCATGGCAATTTACACATTTTAAAGGTAGCTGTGAACAAACATGATCACTTATGTCCTGAAGGGATGTGGTATTTAAAAAAAAGATAAAATAGTTATATTATTATCTTGAATTTTATCATTACTATTATTATATGAAACATTGTCAACCATTATCAACTTTTTTTTGTGAAGTGACAATAACTCATTGAATAATATAAAAAAAAATTAAGTGAAGAGTATTGTTTCTTTTAGTGTACCTTTCAAATCAAATCCCACCCCCAAATGCCTAAACTGCCTGCAAAATATCTTTGATAAAAGAATTCATAAAAATATGAGAAAATAGCTTCAAACTGTGGTAAAGTTATATTTAGTGTTTCTAGAAAGCTGATTCAAACTACTAATTTTCTTCAGTTAATTTACTTATATTTCAATAACAAGACTAATCATATTGGTAACTTTTATGCCAGGTTGAATCAGAAAGTAGTCATACTTATAATTATACTTTATCCTCTCTTAAGAGTCTAAATTATGCAATCATTGTTATTTAATTCTTTGTTTATCAATATATTCTTCTTCAGAGTTGAAACCATGATATTGAAATCATTGTCGAAATCAACAGAAATATTTCAAGTTGATTTTGTCATTGGCACATTCATTTTTAAATTTGAAGTCTTGCAGTTGTTAAATGCTTTAAAGATTATCTTTCATTTTGAAATATCAAAGATGGTAATGATGAGATCAGCCATTCCCTGATAAAGAAACATTCAGTATTTATTGATTGAGTCGTTAGTGTTACTGTTGATTGGAATTTATAATATCTTTCTCTTAAAACAGTTTTTCAGGAAAATCAGTTTATCAAGTCCACTGATATCACTCTTACCTGTATTGTTTGAGGGCTTCCTTCTTAACCTTTTGTTTGGAGGTAATGTCATTATTTTCTCCTTGAGTTACATGTGCTATCCATTTTAGTTGTTGATGTTGTTATAAAATAAAATAAGACATATCTCGGCTGATTTACAGGTAAATAAACTAACATACTCAAGATAGAGAGCCGGATGTGAACGGGACAAAGCCCCGTCACAAAATTACTATTATCTTCATTTACAAATGTTCCCGACGCACGAGTTCCGGTCGAAAAATAAAATAATATTTAAAGTGTTCTATTTTTTGTCCAATAAAAATGCTTCCCTCCTAATTATACTCGCTTCGTTTTTTGAGCCTGTTAAGCCATAAAAAACGCCATAAAAGGGGTCACACGGAGGTACAACAGGCAGTCAACAGGTGACCAGGGAAGAGAACTGTCACAGTCAGGCCGAGCGGTCAGCAGCTGTCAGCAAGGGAGCACCAGCGTCAACATGTGTGAACTACTATGAGAGATCGACCTAGATCCGAAGCCGGCTTATGAACTATACCACAAGGTAGCTGTCCCAAACCCTCACGTTCTTGTTGAAATAAATCACGTAAATCTATTTCTGCTGTTGCCGTATTTCTTTCTTGCAACCATATGCTTGTCTATAACAATGTGGTTGGAAGTCCTCGATTGATGTGGTTTTTATTATTTGGAAAAGTTCTTTGTGATTCTGTAATACCTTAGACAAGAAACCTGTGGGTCTCTTCAAGACCCACAGGTTTCATTCACCTGAAGCTATGAGATCCAACAAAAGACTAATACCTTAGACAAGAAACCTGTGGGTCTTGAAGAGACCCACAGGTTTCATTCACCTGAAGCTATGAGATCCAACAAAAGACTAATACCTTAGACAAGAAACCTGTGGGTCTTGAAGAGACCCACAGGTTTCATTCACCTGAAGCTATGAGATCCAACAAAAGACTAATACCTTAGACAACATACAAGCTATTTTTAATAATTGACCAGTTGTATATAGCTGATAGTTTAGACATTTCTAAATGAGTTTGATGCCATGGATGATATTCAGATGAAAGTCTAACTAGAAGTGCTTTGTTTGTGATTCTGTAATGCCAGTCTATGAGATCCAACAAAGGACAGACTTCTTGAAGAACTACAGGGTTCATTCACTTGAAGCCATTTTTAATCATTGATTTAAATAAACAGTTGTATATAGTTGATAGTTTAGATATTTCTGAATGAGTTGGATGCTATGTATGATTTTAATATGAGAGTCTAGATCTGACAAGGCTATTTAAAAATATGACCAAAGTTTTTAGGTTA